TGAACTTTTGCAAGCTTCTCCTTAAATCAGTTTCTATTTTTTTGTAAGGTAACTTAAACCCAGCATATTGTGATGTTGTACTTCTAATAATATGAAGAATACCTTCTTAAGAAGGATATCTGATCCAAAAGGGTAAGAGACTCTTGCATTATCTATACATTAGTTGATATGCTGGAACATTGCATTTTGTTTCCTTAACTGTTAAAGAATCAGAAAATACTTGTGCAGGAGAATTATAGAATTATGACTCTTTTAGTTGTAAAAATCTCATGATTTTGGATCTGTCAAAGGATGTGGTAAGGCCAATTTGTTATCTACACCAACCATATGTGGTAGACAGCCAATAAATAATAAATTGCTCTCAGAGCTGAAAGGTCTGTAAGTAGAATGAATATCAACTGTTTAACATGAATATGAAGGAGCCTCCACTTTGTATAGCTAGTGCCTTTCCCACTACCTAGCTAGAACTTGTCAAAAAAGAGTTCTAAAATGTCACATTTTCGAAAAAAAAAGGTTAACCTGGATGCAGCATACAGCTAAGATGATTCCAGTGCTCTGTTTTGGAATTATCCTGAATAAATCTGTCTAAGCCACATTGTCACTGACTATTCTGTGACTTCTCCTGTAAAGAGTAAAGGATCTCTGGGTTACATCAAAGATGTAACAGACTCATAAAAGAGTTTCTTGTGCTGCTGATAGTTGACATCCAAGTGTGTCTTGTGTCATTCAGTTGGCTGTTTTCTGCCTTCATGCTTCATCTGGCACAGCTCATCCCTGTCTATAGAGGTATTCAGAGAAAGGGGGTGACAGGCAGCCACTGCTGTGAATAATGAAGACTGTAGTGTTTAATCAGATAGTCCATGGGGTGAGTCCATGCTTGGGTGAGATTTATGGCTAGCACTGGACACTTAGGAATCTTGCTGGGTCCATGAAACTTCACCCTCATAGATCTATTTTGCAGAAGAAATAATGAGAAAATTCTCACTTTGTAAAGAAATCATAAAAGCAGATCAATGAGTTGCACCCTTGAACGATACAGCTAAGGTGAATGCATTCAACTGAAAGACTGAATAACTGACTGAGATAAGAGAAAACCTTACTATCCTTTGAGTATATATGCCCATTTATCAGATTTATTATCAAGATGATTTTTAAATCTTTTATTACGATGGTTATAGCATCTCCACTTCCAGACTTAATGGCTGTTCCATAAGCTCCATCTGGAACTTGTTCAGTAATAGAGTGGACTTTATACCACCCAGTTCCTACAGCTGACCTGACTACACTTTCACTTATTAGCTGAGACATCTCAAGGAATAATATAACTAGATGTGCAGAAAGAGGTTTGCATTTATTTTAAACTCCTAATAAAACACTGTAACAAAACTCTAGGGCCAGTTGAAAGTGGAGTATGTCTGACTTAATTTTAAACCAATTTCTCTTTCCAGGTATGCACTGCTGTTTACATGTATATTAATACATTTAAAATGGAAAAATAAATATATTATAAACAAACAAAAGCAAAAATAAAACCACTGTGAAACTAGAACAGAAATAAGTATAATTTATTTCAATTAGTTATCTGAGCAGCTTTAAAATTCAAAAGCACTCTTTTTACCAAAATACACATTTAATAAAAGTGCCCATGATAGAAACTGTGTGACTTTTCCAAAGGCAATGGCACTGTGTGTTAGTTTCCAGCCCTTATTCCTTTATTTCTACCTCCACTCTCCTATGCCAAACTCGTGTTGGGACCTGAGACACCTGTTTGAGTAAGCCAAAGAGTTTACACAATAATACATTGTTTTGGGACTATATTAAACTCCCTCTTCTGTTTCCTGAATCCACATAAATTTTGTAAACAAACACTCCCTCCTACAAGAGGGGAGAGTTTTCCATTTTTTTTTCTGTTTTCTATGACTCAGTGGCTCACAGCACAGCACTAGCAAACAATTCTTTATACCATAAGGAAATATACAAGTAGCATGTTAGGAAAATAAACCAGATTTAATTATTTCAGTTCAAATTTCAAAGGAATTAAAAAAAAAAGTCCTAAGGCATAGAAAGCAAAAATCCATTATTTTTACATAAGGCTCATCAAAAAAGATGGACTGCAGCCACCAACACTGACAGAACTGTCAATAATTAGCAGATTTGAAAATATAAGTTTCTCATGCCAATCACATTAATTTGGCAAAGGTAGCAGCCACATATTTGCCAGTTGCATGTGTTATCTCGCTGCTACACCCTCACTCAGTGTTTCACTTTGGCCAGAAAAAGTAGATGTGAACTCTGCTAATGTCATGGATGAAGGGCAGGTCAGAGCATCCAGATGAGCAGTAGGACAATGCACATTCCATTCCTGTCAAAAGGTTTCAGAAGACTAGCTGGCAGGTAGCTAAACACCACACAGTCACTCCCCTATGCCAGTAGGATGGGGGAGAGAACTGGGGGGGAAAAAAAAAAAAAGTGGGTTGAGATAAGACAGTTAAATAGGACAGAAACGGAAGTGAAAAAAAAATTAATTAATAGAATAGTAGAATTTCACATCACAAAACAACTGATGCACAATGCCAGTGCTCACCACCTGCTGACTGATGCCCAGACAATTCCTGAGCAGTGGCCCCTGGCCAACTTTCCTTTCAGTTTATATACTAAGCATGATGACATATGGTATGGAATATCCCTGTGGTCAGTTGGAGTCAGCTGTCCCATCTATGTCTCTTTCCAGCTTCTTGTGCCCCCCAGTCTCCTGAAGGGTAGGAGAAGTTGAGAAGTCATTGACTTAGGGTAAGCACTGCTTAGCAACAACTAAAATATCAGCATGTCATCAACATTATACTCACCCTACATTCAAAACATAGAACTGTACTAGCTAAAGAAAATTATCTCATCTGAAACCAGGACAACTCCTATACCACTTCCTTTCCTTCCCTCAATTAATACTGATGTAACCACACTGGAGGGAATCTGGACCACAAATGAGAACATTCCCTTTTGGGAAAAAAAAAAACCACAGACAATTTCCCTAAGTAAATATTTAGGCGCTCACTGCTTCTTCCCAGTAAATGAAGACTAACTAATATTTCATCAATCTACCTATCCAAAGGGTGGCCAAGTCTCCACTTAGACACTGCCTCAGTTTGAAAACCTTTGAAAGAACTGTGTGCCATCTCTGAAATACAAGGTAAAAGCTCAAAAAACAACATGAAGGGGAGGGAACAACTGAATGTTATTATTTTGAATCTGCATTTTCATTTCTGAATTACAGAAGAGAGAAGTCCAATCAGAAAAAAAATTACTCTGTCTCCAGGAGTAGAATTATAAAAGTAGACTGAAAATAATTTGTACTCCTTTCCCAGAGGGATGGGGATGGAGTCTACAAAGGTTTATCTTCCACTGCTAGAGCATATAGCCATGGGGATTGAAGACACTGTCCTGCTGCGATCCTGGGATATGCTCCCCAGCTCTGGATTTGCACAGAGATGACATGATCTAGTGATGAAGCCAGCAAGAGAGTCGTTATCAGATCCTTGGGAATGAGGCCTGAACAGCCCCTGGTTGGAGTCATTTACAGCATTTTTGCATTCATATCCATGTTCCACTCCTCATCAAAGTGCACTCTCATTACATAAGGAGAAGGGAAGGGTCCAACCCTGTTTTTTCACTATACTCTCTATTTATAATGGGTGAATCAATCAATAAATAACAATGTTTTTCTGCATCATATTTACAAATACTGTGTCGCTGGACAACAGAAATGCCTAGAAAGCATTACTAGAGATTGAGATTTACAATCTGAAGAAGAAAAACATTCACTTTGCATCTGCAGCCCCCTTGGAACAGAAATTACTTGAAAATTTAAACCTAAGAATTTGGAAGAACTAGTCACTTCAAGTCTGAGCATTCCAAAATAAACAGATAAAAGTGTCATTGCTAAAAGAAATCACAGCTTGACAGCATGGAGAAAATAAATATAAGTGCTTGCAGCAATACTCTGAAAGAAGAACACAAATATCTGACAGATGACACTTTTTTTTGGCCCAGTTCAGGAACTGCCAACAGGTTAAGATCTAAAGCAAATTCAAAATCATGTTTTTTCTAGTGTGTTATGGCAAACAGCATTCCTGAGCTATTTTGCAGAAATACAGCCTGACAGAAGTATGCCAGTAATTTTTTGCTAATCAATTAAAAAGTAATAAATGTGTAAGATGATGCCTAAGAAATACTTTCAACCATAAAGTTTCAGAAAATAAAATGTGAAATGGAGGTGTGAAAGCATTTTGTCAAAAAAACTTTCTTGATAAATCCACCACAGGGAGAACAATAAAAAAATAATGAGCACTCTTCCCAACATCTCTGGGAGCCTGATCTTTGAATTAGAATAGAATGTGGTTCAAGATCAGGTTTACTATTCTTGGGGGAAAAATAAACCCTGTATTTTTGTTGGTGGTGTTTTTCCATAGCTAGTTGCTTTGTCATATCTTTCATCTTACAAAAAAGCTTCAACTGGAACTACATTACTATCTAATGACTTAGAAGAGAACCTTGTTTAAGGTGGAACGTGGTCTATACATTGTGGATGTTACATTTCAAAACTTACAATACTGTTAAAATGAACTACTAGTTTAGGATTAGAAACGGTGATGGGAAAAACTTACTGTAAATGCTTGGATTTGCTTGGATATCAACTCTCACAAACTATTTCTTTGCTGTAAGTTCACCTTTGAAAGGATTTTGGCACCTGCAGAAATTCTTTTTCAGAGGAAGGGGAAGCCAATGAGTAAAGGCAGGAAACATGTCTCGTACTTGATGAAGGTGAATGAAGACATGCCAGTGAATGAGAACACATTATAAATCTGCTGGACCAAATATAGCATGGATATGGAACAGCTGGCTATACCTGCCACTCCCGCTCATATTCTGCTACATCCACTGACATCTAAGTACGCACTAGTTATTACATGTTAAAGTTTGAAGAATCCATCCATCACTCCTATGAGCTTTTTAAGTATTACTCTCAGCATATGGCTCTTCTGTGCACAGATGGATCCAGTTCTGCAGCCTATGTTCAGATTAATGATCACAAGTAATATCCTTGGAGTTCACTGTGATCTCATGCAACTTTAATTCCACTGACTTGAACAAAGTTACCGATTTACAGAACTGCGAAGGAGCTCTGGACCTCTGCTTTTGGTGAACTCAATCACACAGGCGCTATTTGACAAGAAAATGCTTATGTGATCATAAACTTTAACATACTGAAAAATTAAATTGAAGATGAACACATTATGTGCAGTATTTATCAAGAAAACTAAAGAACGGTTAACCAATGAAAACAACAAAATACAATTTCTTCAGCTAAAAAAAATAAATTACTTCTGTTCCTCTACAAAAGCATTGTTGATCAGGTTTTTGTTTGGTTTTGGTTTTGGTTATTTGGTTTTGTTTGGTTTTTTTGTTTTTGTTTGGTTTTTTGTTTGCTTTTTTAAATGAACTGGTTAAAAGAAAGGTATATCTCAGGGATACAAGGCAATCTAAACAATGGTTAAGATTTAAGTTTTAACTTGAGAAGTGCAAAGCTTCTTAAAACATACTGAGGAAAACAAGCTGCATGTGCTGATAAAATTGTATGCACTGATAATTCCCCCATACCTACACTTTACTACAAAATACAGGTATTGTTATGTTAAACAGAAAAATATTTTTCAGTAGTTCACTGAAATCCTATTTCCCACCAACTCTTTCAAGACAGTAATGTTATTGAAGTGTACTGATACTTTCACAATGAACTTATTAATAAGAAAAACTAAATGAACAAAGAACCTGGTAAGAAACTTCAGACATTCCCATCTCTGGGTCACCAATCCTGAAAGGTTAACAGATGAAAGGGGAGTTTTCCTATGAACTGTCAGGGGAGTAAGAGGCTTTTGCCCCCACTAGCACCAGCCAGCGTGAGCTCTCACATCATTCCCAACACTGTGCAGCTGCACAGCTCACACCACTGATGTGGCACTAGCCCACCCAGCAGGATAACTGCAGCATCCCAAGGTAGACCTCAGCCATGGTTCTTGTCCGTTCCACAGTGCAGGAACAAACATGTGAAATACAGACTGTCCAGAAAAGCTCTGAGCAGAGACAGACACCGAAGCTGCAGAAACACTCTTCTTGAACAGCATCTGTCATCTGCCCTAAATGCACGTCAAGCAGTTGGCCAAGGAGGTTACTTATGGCCTAGACCTTTGCAGAGTTTCTCCAGAGCCACACGCCACCGGAGGAAATGTGTTGATTTTCTTGTCTGTGTTAGCCCACAGTCATGCATTCAGCAGCTAAGTAGGGAGACTAAATTTCCATTTCTGTCAATCCAGTATTTCCTACAGGTCCTAAATTTACTGCACCAGAAAGGCTGAACATTTTCAAGATTTGAACACCAGGGTGAAGTAATGAAGATATTATACACGTGGAAAGATCACACTAAGCACATGTTGTGGTTAAACATTTTAATATTTAACATTAACAGTTTCCCTGTGAGGACTGGAGTATTTGATATAGTTATATACAGACTGGATGTGGCACTTAATGCCCTGGTCTAGTAACCACCATTGTGTTGGATCAAGGGTTGGATTTGATGATCTCAGAGGTCTTTTCCAATCTGGCTGACTCTATGATTTTATATTAAAAAAAATTAAACGTTTACTATTAAATTATGAGAACTTGTATTTCTCCTGCAGTGCTTCTTTCAAACCAGGATCAGTGTTATCTGTTGTCTTCATGAATATTGAAATAATTAATTGATTAGTCAAATGTTAACAATTGTTACTCAGGCTGTGCCATGAGATTATGTACTCACACTGAGAATCAATGGTAATTAAGTAGTTGATCAATGCAGGCACCTTTTCAATGTGTACACAGCTCCAAAATACAAGTTCAGTGGAAAAACTAAATATGAGTGAAAACTCTTCATTGCAAGTGAGTTTTCATCACTGAAAACTATTTTCTCCTCAGTGTAATGCTCAAAAATGTATTCCTTTTGCTTTTTGACATGAAGTAGAGAACTCCATGACATTGACAATGCATGTAGTTTAAAGAATGAAAACCTCTATTAGACATTGCACCCTATCATAGAGAAAATCTGAATAAAATCACCAAAGCAGGCTGATATTCAAGCTATTCTGGTGCCAACTAAAATGAAAGCAAGGGAATGGAATATACTCAGTTATCAGTGTCTTTAATTTACATATTATTACAGGGATCAAGTTGAAGCATTTCTGATGGACATTTCTGTACTGTACAACACTTTAAAAAACTTTTAAAAGGTATTTCTAAAACGATTCCCTTTAAAACTCTTGTATCAACCATGGAACTGATTTTTCTGGTCATGAACATGCCATTAATATGTAGTACTGCCTCAATTTTACATATACATGCAAGGACACATATACACGTTTCCATGTATGAAAACACAAAAGTGCACTAAATTGAATAAAAAATTTATCTAACTGAATCAAGAAACTTATATTAACAGTTTTTAAACCATACACTTATTTCTAAACATCTTACAATTGATTGTTCTCCAATAATTTCACTACTTTTTCACTAGTAAATTGTAAAAATATTTACAATACCCAAAGTGGTATTCAGAATTTCCCATTTTTACCGTGATACTTAATGTAACTTTCCCAAATTCCACTGGATACAGTCATAACAAAAAATATTATATAGGTAGAAGGAAGCACTCAGTGAATCGGATGGTTTTATATATATATATATATATATATAAATTTTTTTATTATGTGAACATTCCGTAACCTGTTGCAAGAGTGATGTCAACCTTTCAAAACAAAATCTGTTTAAATCTAAAATGAAACGCTATACAGCTCATAATAACTGATATTCTATCTTGGTTTGCTTTTTATTTCACCCTCACAGAAAATAAAATTTTGTTTTTTTCACACAATTACCTGAAAAACTTGAAACAGACAGAAAAGGACAGCTAGCTTTACCAAAAGTTTCAGAGAAACTCTAGGAATTAAAACATTTCCAACCTACCTTTGCTACATGATCTGAACTCTATGTTTATATCCTGTAAGTATATAAAAACCATGACACTGCAATAAATAACATTTTTCCTTTTCAGTTAACCGTAGTGAATATTTTACTCATGATTCCTCCTCTGAGTATGGTGTATGATATTTCTGCACAGGATGTATGTGTGATTAACATGTTTAAATGTGCATGCACAAATATAGTATTTTCATATAAAGACCAGTATTTTTCTAAATTAAGACCAAACAGGACTTCAGTAGTATAAGTTTTGCTCTTGTTGCATACACATAACTGCTATTGATGCTAGGAATAAAAAAGAACACAAAAAAGCCCTGAAGAAAAATGCTTTGAAGACTGAAGAGGATTTACTCACAGTGTTTAAATTAAAGCACATAATACTCTGACACTGACTAACTTTAATTCTACTGAAATACAGACACCATAATATTCAATCCCCTACTATCTGGGGCAATTGCCTCTTCTTCCTCATTTCCTAGTATGTTTGATTAATATAGATAACAAGGCATCTTTGGTCTGAAAGTTTCCTTCTTTAGGCTAACAAACAGAACAAAAAATGATGAAGCACTTGGTATAGGTTTGCACGCACTCTAAAACAACCATTCTCTCAGCCTTGCTGCACTGCCCGAAGAATTTCAGCAGGTTTGTCTAGGAAATATATTACCCTGTCTTGACTAGAAAAAAATATAAACCATAATTTTAGCTATTGTTTTCATTCCTTTTATACTGACCAATAACTCAGTTTTCTTATATCTGGCAATGCAGCCTCTATAACATAGTTTGGTTTGTACTGGCATTTGTGCACCATTTTTCTTTAAGTGTCATGAATCTCAAACAGCTCTACAGAATGAATTACTGTGTTCGAACAAGCATTTCTGCAGTATGATATGAAGCACATGGATCAATCTGTAGGTAGTATTAAAAGACCAAACATGATTATTTGTAGTTGTGGATTAACCTATGGAGTTTTCAGATATAGAACTCAACAAATACCAACTGAAAGAAAAACCTTAGCATAATGGCTTATATGAAGGATAAAATCTCTAACACTACAATGCCACCTTATTGAGTTTGCTCTGACACCTCTCTAACTCAAGCACGATGTAGGTCCCAAACATACAGTGTTCATTCACAAGCATTAGAAGCAATCCTGCAAGTCTGAACTTCTAAATGTTCCCAAAGATGGAGGAATAAATGTTTTTGGGCACAGATATAAGAAATTCTATAAGCCAACAATCACTGCTGCTGAGCATTTCCTAAGAGTTACTGAGTCTTACTTACACAGAGGACACTGAAAGGACAAGCCCAATGTTTTTAATCTTATATCTCTTACTTTAAACATTATTTCTTTATCCTCCTTTGAAACAGGAGTATACAAAATAAAAACTCTACTTCCATAGTCTTCAGGTTATTAGAATATGATTACAGATCAAAGTATTGAAAGAAGCGTAAAAACAAGTAGATAAAAATACAAAGACTTCCACAGGTATGGCAGTGTTATTTTAAACTGAGTACTCAGAAAGTTTATTTTAATAATTAATCAAATAGCTGTACTATAATAGCAATAAATTATTTAAAATATAATTAACTCAATTATAAACATTTCTTATGAATACATAAAAGATTGAAATTCATTAACATATAAAAACCACTACAAGTTATAGTCTATAAATACACTCAAACAAGACTTTTAACTGCTGAAACAAAAATGCACAATATCATCCAGAATTAATGAAAGTCAATATAATGATACCAGGATACTCCTTCAATTTCACATAGTCTTCCCAACTAACAATCTTATAGTTATAGCTCATATAATTCCTTCTTTGATATACTATGAGCTATTTTCAGTCTCAAGTTATCTCAAAAAGCCCAGCTACCACTGTCTTAGATAATATTTCTGTTGATTTCAAAGTTTCTCTGGTTTACATAGTGCAATTCAGGCAAGTATAAGATCAACATATTTATTATAAAGTTTTATTGCCTAAAACTAAAGTTAATTAACTTCTTTATGCTGAGTGGAGGACACGACAAGACTTACTGTCCCAGTGAAAGACCTCAATAATATTTTCAGGAGAGGGAGTGGAGGAAGAGAGTAATTTCTAAGAAAAGAAAAATTAAAAAATAAAAGCACTATAAGAAGCACATTAAAACTGGAAAAAGCACCATGATCACAAGACCAAGAAATAGTTTTAAAAACATGGTAGCACAAGAGAAAGACCAGTGTTGGACTGTGCACAGCAAATGAAAGGCATAATGGAAACTGCTCACTCACACTGTATTTTATTCTAAAAACATATGGAGTTCATGTTTTCAGTCTGTTTGAACACTATAAATGGCTTTAAATTTCGAAAACCAATAACATCCGTGACATTACTCTCTATGACAAGAATTACGTACAATATTATATATTAAGTATAAGCATGAAAATTTTACTGTTACCAGCTGTGGTATCTAAAAAAACAACTAACCCGTCTCTATCCACTGATTACCACTGGCAGCAGGCAGCTGGCCTGCACAGGAGGCTAGAGAGGTGCTCTTCTAAAATCCAAGCATGGGATTCTGAATTTGGCTGGAGTCTTTATATTGACTTCAAAGCACTGATGATACTTCACCTATCTAATTGTCTTCTCCAGTCTTCTGGAATTAGTAGTGCCATACGTAAGGGATCTAGCACCTTAAGGTGCGAGTATTTAAGCAGAAAAAAAGAGTGTCTTCTAAAAATATCCATAATTATTGTAGCAAATGGGAGTTAATAGATCTGCAGTGATCAACACTCCTGTTCATTACAAAATAGGAATACACACCAGAGACATTGGTTTGGGTTTTTTTCAAGTTATCCAAACATTTTTATCAACTTGACATTTGATGCAATTTGTGATTCCTGAATTCAGATTAAGGCTAGACACTACATAGACCCTTTCTGCATGTCCAGGGTAGTGCATAGCTGTGAGATGCCCATGAAAGAAGTGCTTACTCAAGAATTGCAGCTCCTTTCTGCTTCTCCCACAGTTTTAAGAGGGGGAGAGGAATCAGTGAGAGGCAGACTTGAACTTTTTATGCTCTCCTTCCCGGCAACAGGGCAGCTCCAGTTCCTTCCAACAGGAAGGGGGGAAATAATGACTTGTAAGCTTGCTTTCACATACTTCAATGGCTTTCACATACACCCTTGTGCAATGGATAAACACCCATGTGCTCCCTGCTTCTTTTAGTCATGCCAAGAAAGGGGAGGGAATACACTGCATCTCTTTCTTTCTTGGGAGCAAACCCAATTTGCTCCCAAGCAAAAATCCTTCTTCATGCTGTAAAATATCCCAAAGTGAAGTATCATGTGAACAAAAAAGTAGGCAAAAAACAACAACGGTAAACAGAACGCTTCAAATTAAATTAAAGAACTACTCAATGCAAATTACCTGTATATGTGAGGAGGTATTTAGGATACATAGAATTAAATTAGTGTGGTAAATTTTTAGAAACTTAAGCAGAAGAAGAAAACAGAAGCTGAATTACATATAATCACACTCTCATGTCATTTTTCAGATTATGTCAAATTGGAACACTTAAGAAAACCCAGGAAATCTAAATGTGGTCCTGGTCAGACAGAACCTG